GTTACGTACTTTACCTTTAAAACTTAAAACTAAGGAAACGAACGTAAGTAAGGTAGTAGTAACCGAACGTACGTACACTAAGTACTATAGTAAGAAGTACTAACGACACTAACGTACTCTCTCTCTCTCTCTCTCTCTCTCTCTCTCTCTCTCTCTCTCTCATGAAAAGAATTGTACATCTTTTTGTTCATTGAACAGATTTAGTAAAAATTATTTTATGTTTTGAAAGTAATGGAGCTTTCAAAATTAATATCTAGAGCAGTAAAACTATTTATTGTCTTGAAAGTAACTGAAGCAAACCAGTGGTCCAACTGAAGCTAACATCCTCACCAGTTCAATGTCTGATATTTTCTTTTTTTACTGACACACATAATTTATTTGAATTGCTTATAGAGGTGAATTTTGAATTGATTATTCCAGAAAAGCTGAAAAAGTGCAACTGAATTGAAACCATATAAAGGAATTCAAAATATAAACAATTAAAGAACATAAATTATTTTCATAAAATCATTATATTGACTGGGTTAATCTCTACTTCATACTGAGATTAGTATGCTCAACGTTTGCCTAGCTAGTCTAGGATCTCTCGCATCAGAAAACGTGGTATCTACTGAAGGTTGATTTCAAGTGATGATGTTATTCCACTGTCAATGCTTTCTGATGTTAACATAATAGGAATTTCGTTTTAGACGAGAAGGCCGTGGTGGGAATTCATACTTTGTTAACACAAAAGGAAAGCTGGCCTTACCTTCTTTTCTAAATATACAGTCAACATAATAGTCTATTTTAAAATGGCAGAAGATACTGTTTCAGAAATCTCTGTTGATAATACCCCTTCTTCTAGTTCTAATTTTCGTCCTATGTTTTCAAAACAAGATTACCTTTTTGAAATAACTTATACCCCTGAAAAATTTTCAGAAGCCAGTTCTCAGTTGATAAACCCTTATCATGTCTATGATAAGTCTAGTTTAAATTGGACCAAAAAAATCAAAAAGTTGTATGGAAAAAAAAAACCTGAAGCTATAAAAGAATATGTTCAAGCCTTTTCTCTTGACCAACACCAAATACCTAGTACCCAATCTAAACAATATGTTACCATAACCTTACCTAGAAACCTATTCCCCTAATGGCTTAAAGATGGTTATACTTATATCCATTTTGGCGCCATAAAGCTAGCCCTGACTTTTCATGGAAGAAAAGGTATGGAAGCAATTTCCCGAATTGCTTTGTTGGATTCTAGGTTTTTAGAATACCAGCATGCATGCATTGGAACTGTACAAACAACCATGAACGCAGGAACCATATTCGTTACCTTCTGCCCAAACTTTAATATCCCTATCAAAGACCATCATTTGAGTTCAGCTTTTAAAGTCCAGTTGCAGATTACAGACACCAAACAGATTGAAACAGCCACTGCAGCTACATTCCATTATCAAATGGTGTGTAGACTACAAAACTATGCTTTTGATATAGTTACCCCTTTGTCCCCAGAACAAGAAAACACAGCATTGTTTGTTAAAGTTGATAACAATTCCCAATCTTTCTGTCATTATACTCCTAGACAAATCTCTTGAGAGGTTGCTTGAATTAATTCCATCTACATGGGTGACAAATTATGAAACTCTTCAAAATCAATGTCAGCCATTGATACAATCAGATTCTAGAATGACTAGAATGCCAGATGGAACTGTGCAGATAAATTTTTAAAATCAAAGGATAGCTGAGAACCAGACAAGAGAAATATTTCCAATTCAATTTCATGGATTGCTTGAAAAAGTTTATGAACAGGAAAGCCAGTTTATGAACAGAAAACTTCTGATGGCCATAACTGGTTTCATACTTGTGATTGCTCTACTTGTCTTGAAGAAGTTTTAGATGATTTTCCAAAAAGAAAAAGCAAAAAAAAAAAATCGTCACAACAAAATCTTCATCAAAGATATATGGAGGGTGATCCATCTGTTGGTTTGCTTGGAGAAAGTTCAAGAAAATGTGATTACTATGTGACATATCTGTGTTCTCTCTTGATGATGAGCAAACTTCAGAAACCCTATTGTCTATTGCATATTCAGACGACAATGAGGTAAATGAAATAAGCAATACTCAAATCTCAGAGATATTGTCTCCATAGGAAAGTCATGTAGAAATAGCCAGTTTACCCTTGCAGCCAACCCCAATAGCCTTGGTCCAGACACTCCCTGAACATTATGTAAAACCTTTGTCCATAACAGCCTTTTTTGATACTGGAGCATCAGCTAGTATCTTAAAACCAGATTTGCTACCAAAACAGTTATGGGAAACATGCAACCAAACGTTTCGAGCTACTAATGGTGAAAAATTTACCATAAACCAGATTAGCAAACCCATTTTGATAAAACTTTTTCCCAAACTAGTTATCCAGCACAAACTGTTAGGATCCCATTTGCCCAACAAAGAACTATTACTTGGATTTGATGACCTACACCAAGTAAAACATCAATGGACCTCCAAAGGATTACATTATAGGAACCTAACTTTACCCGGGATTGCTTCATTAGACCAACCTAACAGTTTAGAAGCCATTCAACAAAAAATTTTGACAGACTGTTGTGCAAATTCCCATACTGAGTTTCTCAGAAAATGCAAAAACCCTCTTTGAAGAAATCAGAACTTTTATGTCAAACTACCTTTCAAAAAGAATGAGGACATAAATCCCACAAAAGCTTCACATAGAGGTTTAAATCCAGATCTTTTGGAACAAGCTAAACTAGAAATTCAAGATTTGAAAAAGGAACAGTTGATTGAACCTACAAGTTCTCCTTGAGCTTGTGAAGCCTTTTATGTAAATAAAAGAGCAGAACAAATCAAAGGAAAACTTAGGTTAGTAATCAATTATCAACCTTTGAATGCTTTTCTTGCAGATGATAAATTCCCTCTGCCAAACCAAACTGCACTATTTTCCCAAATTTCTTATGCACACATCTTTTCTAAATTTGATTTATTTTGGCAAATAGGAATTCATCTAAATAATCGTCCTAAAACAACCTTCTATTTACCAAATTATCATTTTCAATGGACTGTCATGCCTTTTGGTTTAAAAAATGCATCTACATATTTTCAAAAAGTTTTAAGCAACATTTTTTAACCAATATCAATACAGGCACTTGGTATATATAGATGATATACTCTTCTTCTCTCCAGATCTTGATAATCATATTCTTCTATTAGAGAAATTCTATTCCCTGTGTTGTAAATATGACATCATGCTTTCTGAAAAGAAATATGTTTTTGCTACGACATAAATTGATTTCCTTGGTATGCATTTCCATAACGGAATGTATAAACTCCAGCCTCATATAGCAAAACACTTATTAGAATTTTCAGATATTTTATCTTCCGTAAAGTAGATTCAACAAGTTTTACGAATTGTAATTATATGTCCCCTTTTATTCCAAAGCTTGCTCTCTTCACTAGTCCACTTTATCTCCTTCTGAAGAAAAAGCACCACCTTGGACGAAAAAACAGACTGAGTGTGTTCTTGAGCTCAAAAGACTTTCTCATAATCTTCCTTCTTTAAAAATCCCATCTACAGGAAATAGGATCTTACAAACTGATGCTTCGGATGAATTTTGGGCATGCATCTTACTTGAAGAAAAAGATAACGAACGAATAATTTGTGGATATAAAAGCAGAAAATTCAAATAATTTGAACTTCATTACCACTCTACATTTAAAGAAATCCTCACTGTAAAAAGAGGAATTGAAAAATTCCAATTTCATCTGATAGGACATTTTTTCGTGGTAGAAATGGATCTTTCAACTTTTCCGAATATGCTCAAATTCAAGAACAAGATACTTCCAAATCCACAGTTACTCAGTTAGGCAAGTTGGTTTTCACAATGGAATTTTGAATATAAACATATTTCTGAAAAGAACAATATCTTAGCAAATATGTTTTCTCGAAAGAAATATACTGAAGATACTATGCTTCAAATCGTCCCCTTCTGCGAAGCCATAATAAGAATGGATGAGAATGAACCAAGAGATGTTCCTGATGAAATTTATGATATCATACTCACCAAGACAATGGAAGCACGAGATGAGACTCTGCAACAAATAATGCATGAAATATTAATCAGAAATCATGGAGAGTGTTTTCAAAGAATTCGATGCCATCCTACATATCTTTTTTTATCCTTATTCCAAACCAGACACTATTATAATATGCCTAAAGAAGCCTTTTGTTTTCTATGGTATATCACCCAAAACCACCATATCTGTTTAATTTTCATGTGAGAAAATTATTATCCTATCTCAGACATTGTCATTTTCTACAATTGAATAATTATGTCCATCCCAACCCCAGAGCTTTTAACTTTTACAAGTTCTTATTAAAGCATTACCATTATAATTAATGGATTGATTCCTTTGATTATTATCACAGACCATATGTTATTATAGCCTTCCACCTAGACCTTCAATCCCAGATATATTCTGAACATACTGTCATCACCCAACACCCCCATATCCAAACCATTGGATGGTATGATTCTAATCTCCTGAATTTTTGGTTATTTCAAACTGAGCTATGGAAAGAGCTAAAAATTCTCAATGTGCTACATTAATAGAATCCAGCCAGAATGGATTCCTTTGGATGTCTATGCAGGAACAACAATATGGAATGATGACACTCCCCGAAGTGCTGCCCTTCTACACCAATTACATATATGGCTTGCTGACCATCCTCCACCACCTGAAGGACCAATTGATAGCTCCAGTGATGATTCTTATACGGGCCCCTCACATAGTCCATCCAACCATTCATCACCAAGTTATGATTCGAATGGATTGCCCCTTGACTATGACATAGATTAGAAAGTCACTTGTCACTCTACTGTTCAAGATAAGGCCACCTGTCACTCTACTGTTCAAGACAAGGCCACCTGTCACTCTACTGTTCAAGACAAGGCCACCTGTCACTCTACTGTTCAAGATAAGGCCACTTGTCGCTCTAGAGCGACTGATAAAGCGATACCTATTTGAGGTATTTGTCATTTTTCCAATTTGGTGGACAAGCACATTGTTTCTCTGAACTACATTTGATCTTGAGATATGGTTCATCATAAGATTTTCCCAATAGATGCTTATTGTTTTCCATCTCTTTGACAAATTCAACTTGGTTGCACAGTCTTTTTAAGGCATGGAGAACATATCAATATAATTCACCAAAACTGGTGTTTTGAATAGTAAGCCCCTGATTTTCCATAGTCTTTGTAGCTTCTTTGCCAAGAGTCCGAGGTACTGATTCAAGATAAAATTGTTTTAAGTTAACGTCATCAATTCCTCCTATCTTATGGTACCTCTTATTCATTTTTGAAAAGCATTTTTCAAGATCTTGTCTCTTGAATGAACAACATTTGAGTTGAAAAAATTCTTCTCTTGCAACGATTTGTTCATGTTTCACTAGGCCTGAGAATTCTGCAACAAGATAATTAAGAAATTCAATAATGGACTCACTATTTCGCAACTGTATTTACTTGTATTCTCCAAGACTTATGTACTAATTAAAAAGTCTTCCTCTTAATCTAACAATGACTTTAGAAATTGTACCAGTTAAAGAATTAGCCGGATTTAGCATTTCATAATGCATCCATCCTTGGATTTCTCTAAATCTGTCATTCCATCAAGATGGTGGAATGTCATCAATTGTAAAGCCTTTGGAGGAGTCACCATATGTGGGGATCCGTTGAGGTTCTTGGTGGTTAGGTGGTCTGAGATTTTCTTCTATTAAAGGGTCAGGTTCAGATGGCTGTTCTGAAGGATTCATCATCAATAAGGATTCAGAATCCATACTAGAAGAAGATGTATCTTCAATAAATGTTTCAGATGTATCAGTCATATCATCTGAGGACTGGGTTTCATTTTGAAGATTAACTTCAGGCTCTTTTGTTAAGTTCTTAAGAAAAGAACTCATATCATTTAACGGTCTAGAAGGAATATTCATCTGAGCCGGAACAGAAGAAGCCACAACGTCTGATTCAGTGTCAAAATTTTGAAACATTTGGGTTTCTTGTTTTGGTATTTGGGAACCAGTGGAAGGATGGACAGTGATTGGTGGTGGAGTTGTCTGGGGACTAGAAATTGAACATTGAGATGAAGATGGGGTGTGCATATTTGGTTTTTTTCTCAATTGGGGAAAAAACATTGCTTCGAGAAATTGTCTTTCCTGCTCAAATGTCCTTAATGGTCTGAAACCATAATTTCTAGGAGGAATGAGACCAGTGGCTGGGTAAAGAGTTCTCGTGGGAGGAAAAGAGTCTGGATTTTTTAAAGTTGGATAAGCCTGGGTATGTGGAATTGGTAACAAGGGTTGGTATTGGGATTGGTATTGATACTGAAGATATTGAGATTCATATTGCGATTTCCAAAGGTCTTTTTCAAGGCTTTGAAGTTGTTTTTCCAAGGAGGCATTCTCTTGTCCTTTTTGAACTAACAAATAAGATTGCTCATTGATATCTTTTACTGTATACAAGATATGCATCAATTCTTCATGCAACAGTTGAATTCTTTCTTTTAATTGAACTATAATATCTGATAATCCTTGCATCTAGGTAGACATTGCATTTTGCTTTTCTTCTATCCGAAGTAGTGCTAAATTCTGAGATTTGGCATTCTCAGCTTGCCAATTTAAACTAGCTTCGGCTGGAGAAATGGACTTTTGTAAACCAGTGTTGTCTATTACATTGGGATTCTTAATTTTCCATACATGCTTTTCATTTTCTTGTCTCTCAAAATCATGTAAAGGAGGAAAATTTGAGGTATAATTTTAACTTTGTGGATCAACAGCTAAAGATTTATCTTCTGGATCATCCCATCCATAAGGAACTATTTCTGCAACAGGGAATTTGGATTTTTTATTTGAACAACCATATGTCACATAGTAATCCTACTTTCCTGAACTTTCTCCAAGCAAACCAACAGATGGATCACCCTCCATATATCTTTGATGACGATTTTGTCGTGATGATTTTTTCTTTGTTCTTTTTCTTTTTGGAAAATAATCTAAAACTTCTTAAAGACAAGTGGAGCATTCACAAGAATCAAACCAGTTATGGCCATCAAAAGTTTTTTGTTCATAAACTGGCTTTCCTGTTTTATCAAAAGCAACAACAGGAACTTTTTCAAGCAATCCATGAAATTGAGTTGGAAATATTTCTCGTCTGGTTCTCAGCTAGTATTTGATTTTGAAAATTTATCTGCACAACTTCATCTGGCATTCTAGTCATTCTAGAATATGATTGCATCAACGACTGACATTGATTTTGAAGAGTTTTATAATTTGTCACTCATGTAGATGGAACTAATTCAAGCGACCTTTCTTGAGAGATTTGTCTAGGAATATAATAATAGACAGGTTGGGAATTGTTATCAACTTTAATAAACATTACTGTGCTTTCTTGTTCTGGGGAAAAAGGGGTAACTATATCAAAAGCATGGTTTTGTAGTCTATACACCATTTGATAATGGAGTGTAGCTAGAGTGGCTGTTTCAATCTGTTTGGTGCCTGTAATTTGCAACTGGACTTTAAAAGCTGAATTCAAATGAGGGTCTTTGATAGGGATATTAAAGTTTGGGAAGAAGGTAGCAAATATGGTTCATGCGTTCATGGTTGTTTGTACAGTTCCAATGCATGCATGCTGGTATTCTAAAAACCTAGAATCCAACAAAGCAATTTGAAAAACTGCTTCCATACTTTTTCTTCCATGAAAAGTCAGGGCTAGCTTTATGGCGCCAAAATGGATGTGGGTATAACCATCTCTAAGCCATTGGGAGAATAGGTTACTAGGTAAGGTTAAGGTAACATATTGTTCAGATTGGGTAGCAGGTATTTGGTGTTGGTCAAAAGAAAAGGCTTGAACATATTCTTTTATAGCTTCAGGGTTCTTTTTTCCACACAACTTTTTGATTTTTTTGGTCCAATTTAAACTAGATTTATCATAGACATGATAAGGGTTATCAACTAAGAATTGGTTTCTGAAAATTTTTCAGGGGTATAAGTTATTTCAAATGGGTAATCTTGTTTTGAAAACATAAGACGAAAATAAGAACTAGAAGAAGGGGTATTATCAACAGAGATTTTTGAAACAGTATCTTTTGCCATTTTAAAATAGACTATTATGTTGACTGTATATTAGAAAAGAAGGTAAGGCCAGCTTTCTTTTTGTGTTAACAAAGTATAAATTTCCACCACGGCCTTCTCGCCTAAAACGGAATTCCTGTTATGTTAACAACAGAAAGCGTTGACAGTGAAATAACATCATCACTTGAAATCAACCTTCAGTACATACCACATTTTCTGATGCGAGAGATCCTAGACCAGCTAGGCAGACGCAGAGCATACTAATCTCAGTATGAACTAGAGATTAACCCAGTTAATATAATAATCATTATTTAAGGACAATTTAAAGAGCTGGGGAGTTTTATATACCGGAGAGCACAGATTGGATCCCGTCCATGAAGTTTGAAGCTGCAAGGATCGGCATCATTTTTGCCACATATTGAACGACTTCTTCCTCATTGCTGTATGCATATCCCCAAATTCCACGTACTATGACCATTGTAGAACCCACAATGACACCCACTGTGATAGCCATCAACACCACAATACAGGCTGCTAGTTGTGCGGCTTCTGGTTGCCCAGCACCCAATTCATTTGAAACTCTTGTACTGTAAGGAAATGGAGAGAGAGAGAGGGAGGATTTCATGTAACATCTCATATATAGGATAAGGTATATAGGAAGTGCATATCCAAGTGTGAATCAAATATATGTTGGATCTCACCTTATAGCACCTCCGAGACCAAAAGGGATCATGAAAGCCATTGAACAGGTGTTAAGGCTGGGTACACATGACAATTGCGGGTTATTAAAGAAAACTTTTGAAAATTATAGAGAACGAAGATGGTGTTCAATAAGTAATTTGTCTATCAGGAAATAATAGTGTTCAATAAGTAATTTGTCTATCAGGAAATAATTCTAAAAAAAAATGTTTTTCCAGGATGCTTTATGCAGAATACAAAAACAAATTTCAATTAGTTGTGCGACATTGCTCCACTTTTAGGTGGGGATTAAATTATATATTTTCCAATCTATATATGGTGTATAAGAGAGAGGGTAAGAATGTGTCTATTGAATAAGGGGCAATTTTGTAAGTTTTTATGTTGTACCCAATAATACTGGAGATATTCAGAAGAAATATTTACCTGCTGATAAGTAGAGACATTCAGCAATAATAAAGCTAGAGAAAGAAAAGGATATGGAATTCACCTAATTGAGAGTACCGATGTTTCTAACGTTGGATTAGGAAGAAGACCGGACATGAGTACCAACATCTCGAATGACCAGAATTCCAAGCTGTTCAAGAGTTCAATGTCATGAGCCAGTCCAATGATTCAAGAGGATACTGATTTCTGTGGTTCAGAAATTTTCCTGATTGAAACTCCAATTCAATAACCCTTTCAGATAAACTGAAAGTATGGGTTGGGTTTTTAGGTTTCTCTCCTTTCTTTTTTTTTTTTTTTCTAGTTTAAATAAAAAGAAAGGTAAAAGAAATGTAAGAGAGTTAGCATACCAAACCATGAGAGCAGAAGGGATTGCCAATCTCAAGAAGTGCCAAAGATCATGAAGAGCATCCATTGAAAACCCAGACCAGGTCTTTTTACAGGAAGGTGAAAACTTGACATAGAGCGCTAAAAGAACCACATTAATCCAATAAGAGATAGAATTGGCTAAAGCAGCGCCTCTAATGCCCAAACCCGACTTGAAAACCAGAATCCAACAAAAAAGTAGGTGTAACAGAGCAGTGACTGCAGAGCTTAGCATCATAGGAACAACAATATTTTGGGTTTGGAGAAATCGATTATGAGATTGCAGAAGACCATAAGCAAAGAGGCTCGGGATCATCCATCTTGCATAGATGCCAGCTCCATGTGATATATCTGAATCTTGACCCAAGGCCCCAAGGATCTCTCCTGTGTAGGCCCAAATGAAGGCAAGGGGAATACTTACTAGAAGAAGTACAAACATGGATCTCTGCGTATGTATCCCAAGCATGTGGTACTGTTTTGCTCCATAGGACTGTCCACACAGTGTATCGAGTGCGCTTCCCATCCCCAACTGCATATGTGTGTATGTTAGAGAGAGAGAGAGACCCTATTCAGGATGAGACAAGAGAGAGAAAGAGTGAGAAGGAGATGTTCATAAGATACACCTAATTTAGAGAGAGAGAGACCCAATGAGCAGGGAAGAGAAGAGAGAGGGGGGGGGGGCACCGAGAGAGACATGTATGTCAGTTATGTATAATCCAATTTAAGCCTCTATTGTGTCCATGAAAACAACAGAAAAAAGCATACATTAATTTCCCGAGATATGATCAATCACTGAGAGAACAGATGAAATACATTACATTTCGGAGAGGATAAAATGCTACCTAAAAAAGGAAATTGGAAACATAAAAAATAGTAAGGATGTACTCAGGAAAATGGTTTATCAGTTTTTGTAGACTTTCATTCCAACTAGAAGTGGTCTAGCTTTAACTACAGTAACTAGCACAGGGAATATTTTACAGGTTTGCTCTGTTCATCTCTGCACTGGCAAGGTATTTCAAAATTTCATTGTAGTTTTCCCTTCTTCCATTAACAACAATTAAGTTGAAAGCAAAACCAGAGGGACAAGCATTATTAGTAACTCAAATAATGGGTAATTCAGCAACATTCCTCAACAAAAAATTTCAAGCAAAAATAGAGGATATAAGAAAAAGCACAGAGAATTACAAAAATAGAGAAAAAAACTCGAGAAAGCCCAAATTGCAGACAAATCATGAAAGCTGGTATTTAAGCCCAAAATTGCAGGGAAAATCATGGAAGCTCATATTTTAAGCCCCAAGCAGCAGAGAAATCATGGGAGCCACCCGGCACAGAGTGTGAATATAAAAAAGAAAGCAAGTGAAATAGAGGCCAATTACCAGTAAGCTGAAACCGGTGACACCGGCAAATGAAGTAGCCATGGAAGCGCTAGAGAGAGAGAGCTCCCCTAAATGACCAACATACATAACAGAGATCACTTGAAGACAGTATTGCAAGAGACTGACTGCTATGAGCGGGCCTGCTAATTTCACTTGCTTCTCCGCCTCCTTGAAAACATCTCTCTTCGGCCATCCGAACAACGTGAACTCCTGAATACCAGCACCACCTTCGCCCAGTGATATCAGAGGCTGTTTCAGGTCGGTCTTCTCCTCCATTGTTTCAGTCACAGAGATTGAGAAGAAGAAATGGAGAAAAGAATCAAGAAAGACGAAAATAAAGCTCAAGATGTGAAAAAAGCATCTCTCCCTCTCAGAAATGAAGAAGAAGAAGCAGAGAGAAAAATTATCTCCCTCTGTTCACAGGAGAGGCAGCAGCAAGATAGATAGATGAGCAATAACCGCTAATTATCAAGAGAAAGCTGGTACACATGACCTTAGGATAAAATTTTTTCATATGAGAATATTTTCGAGAAAATATTTTCATGCCAACCAAACATGCCATTAAATCTGTTGTTTGCCGCCGTTTAACACTAGAAAGTGATTGACGAGGTCTTCAACAATGTTCTCAGATTTGCTTTCCAAGTCTTTTTTGTCAAAAAAAAAAAAAAAAAACAGTCTAGTGTTTTGTCGAATGGGAAGAAGACTTTATATTTTGTTTAAAATTTAGTATAAATAAATTAGATATTTATATATAAAATATATTGAAAAATTTTAAAATAAAAAATAATAATAATAAACTAAAAAAAATACACTTATATAGATATTTTTTTTATTGGCCAAAGCAGACTGAAGCAAATTCGAAGCGGTCTAAATTTGACTAAAGCAGCTCGAAATAATCTGAATCGGACGAAGCCACAGCACCTGGTTTCGCTTCTTTCCGATTTATGTCTAAAATCCGAAGGCTTCAGCCGAAGCGAGCCCAACTTAATAACATTGGGTTTTAGAAATGGATACGGTTGGTATGAGTCCGAAGTGTCATGTGTAGAAATGCGTCCCCTCATCATGATTTATTTCTAGGGTATTTTACACCTACTTATTATAAAAACCAAAACTGATCATTTTCTAAAGAAAGTTTTAGATAGCAACTTTGTCTTGTTCTTGTTCTCGGGAGACTACAATTCCACATTTATCTTTAAGATGGACGTGGGATGCCCTGGGGGTGCAAATGTAGTTATGCATCCCTTGACGCATAAACTATTATTCTTTTAGAAATTGGATCGTCGGTCGAATTGGTCAACTATCAGTTTCGAACCGATTGGGAACCTTAATCGGCTCCTTGGATTTTTAGGGATTTTTTATTAAAAATAAATAAAATAAAAAAAATCTCGTGTGAATATGTGGAAACTTGAAATAATGGGGTCTTAGATGAGGCTGGTACCCTAGTGGCTCCAAGTTGGCTTGGAGATCTTTAAAACATTGTTGAGTACAAGGAAAAAGTGGTCTGTGAGTCAGCGGACTCACTAGCCCGCACAATCACAAGCGTTTATCTTTAAGAAGAACATCTGCAACTAAAGATTCCTATCCAATGGGTAGGAAAATATTCTAATAAAAATGTTTTAAAATTTTATTTTATTATATTTTATTTATTATATTCATGACCATCATATGGTGTAGATCATGGATCACTACAAATTTGGATCTAAAATTGATACAAATAATAAGTGTTCAAGGTAGATCCCCAATGAAAATAGTATGAGTGGAGAGACTCATAAAAACCGGGTCCTATACACATTTTCAATGGAAACTAAAGTTCCTCTGGTGTTTGATGGCAAGGAGAAGTTTAATCAAGTTTCAACTGCAATCAAGAATGTAAAGTGTTCACATTTCTACAATTAAAACTTCAACTTATGAAATGTTAGAAAAACTGAACTTAGTTACAAACAAATGTAGAGTCGATTCTGGCATTTTTGAAGCTTCGAATTTACCAGCAACACATGAACACGACAACCGGCTTTTGAGTAAAGAGTTTCAAAACCTATTTTGATGGTCGTTGATAGTGACTCAATTTGCTTACTTCCAGGAATCAAACGCTCTTGTCTTGAGAAAATCAATATACTAACGAGTTGTCATGCATATCCTCCACTGCCAAGTGAAATGCTTGTTCAAGTTTTCTCGGAGTTGTACTCTCCAGAAAAACTTCTACAGAATACGGAGTTCCATCTAAATTGCCGCATCTTGATGATGTAGTCACCCCCTCGAGTGTAGCTCTTCATCCATATCTTGGATTTATGTGCTTTAGATTGCGTCTGTAAGACCTTTCAATTACCTATGAAGGTTGTTTATAAGTTTTTTTTCATAATTTTGCTGTTTTAACCCTCAAATCGTAGTCAAAAGTATGTGTATGAAAATAATGAGGAATTTTGTCACCAACTAGGATTTTTTGGTATTACTAGGTGGCTTTGCCATTTACCAAATTTTATATTTTCTCTATAACTGGGATTCACCCATGAGTCCTCAACGTCTACTAATATGTTTGCTTTAAAAACATTAAGCATTATTTCAAAATACATCCTTTAGAAAGCCATAGTATTTGGAAAGTGAAACTTTGTTTTAATATAAAGAGAAAAATTGTGCATTTTCCATCCCAAATCGATAATTTTTCATTTCACTTCGTTTTTGTTTTGCTTTTCATCTTGTTTCATCCAACTTTCCTCACTCAAATAAACCCCTCTTTGGGTTTATCAGAAATCTTTTCAAATGGTTATTGTGGGTAGCTCTTCATGCCCCTCTGTGTGATTAGGATAAGTTGAATATTACAAAGGAGTTTTTTGTAACTGGATCGTTTTCACCACCCCTCTCGGATTTGTATGGCCTCTCTGACTGGGCTAAGAGAGATTGGAATATTCCATACTCCCCTTATGTGAAGATTATAGGTGAAAACAAAGTTTTTAAACTTCGGTCTAAGGATGAGAAAGGTAGAGCTCTTCATCATCGTTTCTGTCGATTACGTGGGAGCCTACTCTCTTTAGAATTGTGGAAGCCTTCAAATCATAGGTCCCACATTCAGAAGGAACTTTGCTGACTAGGTCTTACTTGTATCCCTCTTCATGCCTGGAACCTAACCATTGTGAAAAGGATTGCAAATGTGTTGGGTGTTTATGTGGATATTGATTGGGACTCTTTTTGAGTCCCGGTTATTAGAATATCTGGATTAAAGTCTCGATAGGAGCTCATTCTCCCATTCCTGACAAGGTTCATCTATCTCTTGGAGAAGACGCTTTTGAGATTATTGTTCTCAAAGTTACTGATAGAAAGAGTATCAAAGATGTTCCTGTTCCATTGAAAGGTGGGGGTGAGTCTCTTTTGCCGAAAAATGGGAGATCATCGGAGCTTGCACAATGGAAAAAATTTGGTTAAAAAAAAACATAAGCAGTCCCCCGCAAAATTTCGCAAAGAGAAATTCAATTTTCACATAACTCCAAAAAATTCAAAAAAGTGGATTGCGGTGGGTAGATTTCCGATCATACGGAGGGGTTTTCGTTCGGTTTTGGTAAGCATCAGAAGTGGTTGTTCCTATTAGCTTTCCTGCTAGGAAAGTCTTGGAAAAAGAGTGTGGAAACGAAATTATGGAGTCACACGTGAATGGGACAAAGGAGGATGTCTTTTATCGGTTTGTGCATGGTCCTTCGGAAGATATTCCTGAAGGTCCACCTCTTTTTTTCGAGCTTGGATTTGGCTTGACTCCCAATAAGTTGGTGGAGGTAGTCCTGGAGGAGATAGTACTCCATCGTTTCAACTTATTTTGAGTGGGGAAAGATCTCAAGTACAGCTAGTATTATTTCTATCTGAATCCACTGTTAAAGGTGATCCTCTTCAAAATAATAAGGAGGATAATCCCTCGCCGGTGCTCTGTTTCCTGCTGGTTCACTACAAGAAGTTCGGTGAAGCGTGGCGTTTATTGATTTTTGTGGGGCTTTTTTCTTCCATGATGCATCCATTGCTATTTCGTCTTACTGCTGCTAAAAAGAGTCGAACTCGATTCGACCCTCTCCTTGTTGATCCACTCGCCATTATAGTGACTGATCCGGAAGAGCCTTTGTTATTGGAAAATGATGTCATTTAGCCGAATGATGTCGTTCAGCCCCTAGCGAATGAGGTAGTGAATCCAAGTCCCTTGGAGGCCTTTGAGTATCAACTAGTTGTCGCTCTTGACGCCACATTGGTGAACACAGATGTTTTTGAGAATGCATTACCTATTATGGGTCTTGAAGATGATGCACCTCTAGTTGGGAAAATGTTGGTTGATATGGGTATTGAAGAGACTCCTCTTGCTATTGTGATGAACAAAATCAGAAAGATTCGAAAAGCAAAATCTGAGAATGTAGACAAGCAACCTAAGACTTCTGGCATTGTCTCGAAGGATAGTGAAGTTCCTGCTTTAGCTGAGGACCGTACTGGGATGGCTGAAAATAAGACATTAATTGACAAATCAAAGAGTGCAGACAAGAAGAAGAAGGTCTACCATTAGGGTATCCGCTCTTCTACATGTCTGGAGGCCAGAGTTGTTCCCAAAGGAGGGTAAATGGCTGTTGTGTTTGCTTTAAGGGAACTAGAGGTGGTGAACATTTATTCAGAGTCCTCATCCTCGCCCTCCTCGACTAATGAAGATGACTTTCAATCCTTATTACTTGAAGATGCTCATTTCGGTGGTGGCCGTCCGTCAGGGCCAGTGTCCTCTTCCTCCTCTTCTCATTTTTAATGAATATTTTGTCATTGAATGTGAAGAGGTTGGGGGACCCCAGTAGGAAAAGAGATGTTTTATTTTTAGTTTATAAGTTTAAACCAGTCATTTTGGCTTTATAGGAGACCAAACTTCCTAGCCCAACTATTGTGGGGGTGAGGGAAGTTTGGGGCCATGGGGCAATTTCTTTTGCTGATATTGATGCTGTGGGTAGTTTGGGTGGTCTCTGGATTCTTTGAGATCCAACTGTTCTTGTTTCCTTTGAGACCATTGTTAGAGCTGATTTTCTTTTGTTGGGGTTTAGAGATCTTAATTTGGGGTTTTCATGAGGTTTTATGAATGTTGATGAACCAAATGCCTCCTTCTTAAAATATGGCTTTATTTATGATATGCATGCTATTGTACAATCTATGCCGTATCCAGTTGTTCTTGGGGGGGATTTTAACCTTATTAGATGGCCTGATGAATGTCTTGCAAGCCACCCAATAAATTTGTTTATGAGAAAGTTTAACAACTTCATTGAATATATTACTTGGTACTAAGTTTACTTGGTCCAATAATAGTGTACGAAATCTTGCTATGCCCAAATTGGACAAATTTCTTATGGGCGCATGTTGGTTGGAAGCTTTTTCACTTGCCTCTGTGAAGTCAGTGGTGCATCTTTCCTCTAACCATGTTCCCATTGTTCTCACTACGGGAAGTCTAAGGGGTGGGCCTAAGCCATTCAAACTAGAGGTGGGATGGTTGGAGGAAAAAGAGATAGTTGAGATAATAAAAAGAACATGACTTAATACGGTGGTGGTTGGTCAGATGGACTTTCAGATTCATAAAAAATTGTTGAATGTTAAGCAAAGGTTGTTAGAATGGAAGCGGATTAAAAAGGTGGACATAAAGGTGAATATAGATGT